GATCTAACAGTCGAGCATGGTACAATTCCATGAGTACTACAGAAAAACAAAACCGTTTATCAGACATGTGCATTAACAGTCAAACATGGTACAATTCCATGGACACTACAGAAAAACAAAACCGATTATCAGACATGCAATCTAATTCTCAATTCCAGTACCATTTCCATTAACTAGTGCTCTCTGTTTTCCCTTTAAAGTTCTACATTCTATTATACACAGGTAGCCCGAGTATACGCCTTTAGGGCGTCTAGTTTACCCTAGAGTCCAGAGGCTATTCGTTCTTTAGCACTGTTACATTGTCTTCTGCTTTGAACATATGCTATCAACTAGACTAATTGCTATAAATTTGAAAACTTGCGATTTAGCTAGCTGATGAACCTTCCACACAAAAAATGAATTAAACCCAGCAATTTCGAATGATTTGCCATAGTGTAGGTACTTAAGAAACGGCTGAGTTGCCTGTGTAAAGAAACTGAAAGGAAGTAGGAGACCATCAGAACTGAAACTGTCCAAGAACTTGCAAATGCCTTGAGGGGAGGGGATTGTGAATGACAGTGAAATATAATTTTGGTTCCCCCCCCCCCCCCCTTCTTCCCTCTGCACCTATCTGTGTGGCCCTAGTACTTTAAAAAAGCTATTTAACAATACTAAATATATTTTGCATCAATTATTTTTTTGCTTTCTAATTTAATAAATCTGCGATTTTGCGAATAAACGATGTGTAAACATACCATACCCTCCCCTCCCCACCATAGACGAAAATTCTTTCAACCAATCGCATTGCTAATGTATGTAAACAACATGTAAAATCAACGATCGAAACGACCACTCAACCGAACGAAGGTGTGATCGAAGTAATTTCAGGGTCATACGGAAACATCCTATTACTGTAAGGAAGAATCGCTGATTAAGATGGCTGCAGCACGTAGCTACTTTTCTCATGATGCCCCCGAAATCGTCGTGCAAAGTTTATTCGAAAAGTACGACAAGGACAAGAACGGGTATTTGAAAAAGGAAGAATTATCAATGTTACTAAAAGATGACTTCGGCATGGACAGCCAGCATACAGAAGCAGCTGTAATGCTTCTAGACGACGACGGCAGTGGAACGGTGTCTTTTAAAGAATTCTTTAAATGGTTTAGCAGTGGAGAAGGCTTGCCGAACGTCAGCGACGAATCAAGGTACCACTACGTTAAGAAAGCGGTCGGTCTTTTCAAAACCTTCGACACCAACAAGAACGGGACTATCGACCGAGATGAGCTCAAACATCTTTTGGGATCCATCGGGTTTACCCAGTCTTTAGACAGCGCCTTTGAACAACTCGATAAAGACAAAAACGGCAAAATATCTTTTCCTGAATTCATCGTCTGGCTGAACTGGCTTCCACCTTCAAAGTAAATACGATAACACCTGCAGAGTCGACTGGTTAGTACATATTTTTTAACCGCATATCTAGATTTTTTCCGACTACTATGAATCTTTCTTAGTGTCTGCTAGAATATGAATTATGCTTAGCAAATTTAGTATTCTTTTATACGCCTAATTTCACATATGCGAGTCTCGCCAGATGCTCAAATTTAACTTGGAATGTGCTTGGGACGACTTGTCCTAATTATCATCTCCAAAGGTAGAGCAAACATTCATATATGCTAATAAGTACAGTTTTCTTTCGCAATTTTAATATCTTAACAGACTTCTAGCCATAATTTTAATTTCTTCTTCTAAGGCTAGGATGCCGTATTTTGGAAGGAAAATTTCCTGTAGAACAGAAGACAAGCTGGAAGCTTCCCATGTTGGCTGATGATATATGATATAGACTATGCAAACATTACAGCGTAGACATAATATTACTAGTTAGACCAAGTGTGTTTGCATTTCATGATTTTGCTACAGGATATTGATCATTGTGATAGTTCCAGTATAATCTTATTTAAAGTTACTATTAATGTGGGCCAATCAATGCAAACCTTGAATGCCTTTCTACCCTGGGGAACAAATCTGTGCTGAAGGTCAGTATATATAGCCACCATTTGAAAAGTGGTCCAGTGTTTAAAACAAGTGGCCCAGGTTTTTTTTCATCTACTTGTGTGTTAAATATTTCTTGCAAGATGGTTAAGGTGCATTTTCTTATTAGAATCGGATTGTCTGATTAGAATCGGACTAACTGTACTTGTGGCTATGGCCATGCTAGCCTTTTTGCACTACAGGCTCTCCTCAAGATCATTACTGCATGGTCCGAATAATAAGTCAATCTACCTGGGCCTATCTTGAAATAAAAATTCTATCAACTATGAAATGTTTCTGTGGGGAAAGAGCATTGATGTTTCACAGTGATAAGCAAGTAACTATATGTTTAATGATGAAATGATGTAAGTATTGTTTTTTAAATTCAGCTTTCGAAATTCATGTACATGTGGACAAACCTTATTATAAATAATGCAACAAAAAAAAAAAAAGATTATCTTAGATATTAGGAAATTTTTAAAAGTGATAGACAGCAAATTTAATCTAAGATAAATTTATTCTGTTTTTAAGAGCAAAAAATTTATATATTAATTTGCATGTAATAAAACACTGAATTGCAAATAAAAGTAAGATGCAGTAAGATACATAGTGCATTTTCCCATTAATTTCCCTTCTAGGGGATTTGCATCCTTGTCCATTTTTAAGTTTTTAAAAATCAGGTCATTGGTCATAGTCTGAATAATTGGCTTTTATTTCCTATGAACCAGCCAAAATGCATGCAGTGGAACTTTGTTTATCAAAAGTGGTATGGCCAGTATAGTTTGATCAGCTTTTCAAGCCACTAGCATATGGTGGAACCATATATAGCTATCATGGGCAACTGAGTGTCTTTGAGACTTGAGGCATTGGGAGCCCTGTGGATGGAACAAGAATGGCTAAGATTGGTTCTTATCAACCAAAATAAATATTGAATCCCCAACAAGTTGCGTGTCGGATGGCTGATCCAATGAACTATACCAGTGCACTATTCTTCACTATACTATTTGCATTTTTCATACCAGTTGCGTCACACTTCCATGGTCAGTTCTGTACAAATGTCTATTAATCCAATCACATGACTGACATCGAAACAATATACACCGTCGGTCCCTGTACGCCGAGCCGAGTTGCGACCTTCCATAACCAACGAGGCAGATAAAAACTTGTCAAGCTTTTTGCCAAAAAATGGCGTCAGGCGGTAAAAGCTATTTCTCAGAAAACGTGCCTAAAATTGTCGTCCAAAGTTTGTTTCGAAAATACGACACAGATGACAGCGGCCGCTTACAAAAAACCGAATTAATGACACTGTTGAAAGACGACCTTGGAATGGACTCCAAACAAGCTGAAGCGGTAATGATGCTGGTCGATAAAGATGGAAGTGGAGCCGTTTCTTTTGAGGAGTTCTTTCAGTGGTTGAGAGAAGGACAGGGACTCAAAAACGTCGACAACACGACCAGGTATTATTACATCAGGAAGGCTGTAGACCTTTTTAAGACCTACGATAAAGATGCCAGTGGAACCATTGAACCGAATGAACTGAAAGAGCTGCTGAAGTCCGTTGGATACACTGGATCTGTTGAAAGTGCTTTGAAAGTTTTGGATAAAGATCGTAATAACAAGGTATCATTTCCTGAATTTTTGCAATGGTTAAACTGGATACCTACTTAATAGTTAGAAGCTGTTAGATTTCACAACCTACTGATTGGAACACTTCAATGGTCTTCTATATTAAGTTCATATCCCTGATAACTTATATAATACTAAACTGAGCATCGTCAAACGAGACAGCTTCACGTATATAGGTGTGACGTTTAAAGAAGTATAAAATAATTACTGATTTTCTAATAAACTACATTGAAATATCTACTGTGATTAATATTATAGTTTAATTTAAATACACAGGTGATTATTGAAAATCTCGCGCGTTGATTGGTCGAGAATTATTCACCTCCGGCTCGGTGAATATCGGGAATAATAACCTCAACTTCGTTTCGGTTATTATTCCCCGATATTCACTTCGCCTAATATTGTGATAATATTTGCGAATAGTATTATTAATTCTCATGCTCATTAATAATTCATGAGTAAACAATCCAATCAATGGGCTATTTTTGGGTCACATGATGTTACTTGAAACCTGGTAAAGTGCTGTGAAAGGAATGCATTCAGTCTGGAGTAACTGGAACAAAATTAATTCATTCCTAGGACTGAATTAATTTTGTTCCAGTTACTCTGAGTCGAATAATTAATGAGATGAGAAGTCATCTCAAAGCCTCCAATATCGGACTGGACGTGATTTCAAGTCCGCGCAGTTAGTTCCAGTCATCGGCTGCGCCTCGGACTGGAACTAATTGCTTAGACTTGAAATCCCGTCCAGTCCGCATTGTCGGCTTTGAAATATTACTTCCTACATGCAACGGGGCCGACTGTCGCCAGGCGTTGAGGACAAGAAAGCGCTGGAGGACTCTGGGTACGAAATTGATGTATACTCATCCATAGTCTCTCGCGACCGAGCAAAAGGCTTTTCAATCTCGTTTACAGATCAATACAACCTAGGAGGATCTGGGAATAAGAATTTGGGGGCTTTTAAAAAGAGTTTCATAGCGAGGGAAGACTGGGTCGAAAAAAAACATGGAAACGATTCCCATATGAAATATTCATACTCATTCGGTAAAAATCGGGCACCGTTTGTCGAGCTCAATGGAACTATACGACCACATATCATTAGAAAATTTCATTTTATCCAGTTGGGTCAAACAGTTGTCCAGTTTCCCCAGTCCGGGGAGAGGGTTGGGATACCGATTGGAAAAGGGCGGGGATCCTGTTATACCCTTTGGGAGGGTGATCCTAGGGAGGAGTAGCCTGCGTAGCGACCCAAATGGAAAGCGAATGGGAGTGGGGACTGGGGAGAGGAAGGAAGGAGAGGGTGCAATGAACTCCTTCGATTTTTCCTATAAACGTTCAGAATCCGAACGTTAATTTTGATTGGTTGACTCATAGAAACAGAAATAAACATGACTTTATGCTTTCATTTGATTGGTTGAGAGTTTGCATATTAATTAGGGGGCAGTAGGAAAATTCGAGGGGGTTCATTGCAGGCTCTACCTCTCCTTCCTTCCTCTCTCCAGTCCCTTTCCCCTTCCTCTCCCCAGTCCCCAATCCCCTTCCCTTTGGGCCGCTACGCAGGATAAGGGAGGAGGGAAAAAGGAAAGAGAGCTGATATTCGGGTTACCTTAAGTAACCACCAGCGAAGCGGTAGAAGCAATCTTTTAAATAGGATTGTGGCTGCTTCCCCATACCTAGGTCACATCATTCTCGCTCTTGTGTGAAATGGGGACGAGAATTTTGCAAATCGAAATGAAATTAAAAGGAAGCATTTTATTATTTTATTTTATTAAAATGTTTCCTGAGCGGGAGGAGTGGGCCGGTATGACTCTAGAAAGATACTAAGACGACGGTTTTTTAGCCGTATTTATTTTTTGATACCGTACCTTTTATGTTCACACCGATAAAGAATATAGCCTTTAGTACAAGGATGAAATCTCGCCTCCGATTAGGATACGAACTGACCCAAGATCTATAAATAGTAAACAAGAAAGAATGGTATTTGTAATAACAGCTTCAATATCCTGAAAGATGAAGTCACGTATTTCATTAGAATTTCTGATAGTAGTATAGAATTTCGTACTTTACTGTAATTCCGATGGGGAACTTAACTTCCGCACGACAAAGAACCGTGCAGAACTCCTATCACTACGTGACGTTTGCGCGCGTAGCATAATAGCCAGTTTTTAGTCAGTTAGATCATATACTTGCAAAGAAGTCAGCCAGAAATTTAACATACTACAGAATACTACGCCAAATTTGGCAATGGCAAACCATATTTTAAAAATGAATAAACAAATGTTATGATAAAGATAAACTAAGATAAAAACTCCATGATTTCTTTAAAGAAACCGGCTTCACAGACTCATACAATTTTCTTGTTATGTTGAAAGTTTCTTTTAGTATTTCGTGGAACTGAAGAGAGCTGGAACTATTTTCAAGTTTCTCAGCGTGTAATTATTTACTTTAGAAGAGGATTTGCTTGATTGGATAAAATTCGCTTTGTGGATAATTCATGAGCTAGGTCAGTAGCAACTGGGTGGAACAGCTGATGATCTTAAAAACTAAGTAATGCGAGCAGAGATCATGGAATATAAATTTCAATGATGATACTGCAATCAAGGCGGGAAATGCATAATAATATCAGTGAAATTAGGGTCGGTATCATTCGGTTTCAATTTCTAAACCGCGTAAATTTCAATGATGATACTGTAATCAAGGCGGAAAATACATAATAATATCAGTGGACTGAAGGTCGATATCATTCGGTTTCAATTTCTAAACTGCGCTCAAAGAGTGATTGTAATTAATAATTTATCGTCCAATCAGAAAATACAATACAAATATGCAAATCATCAAAACAAGTTTCTAGATGTTTTCACACTAGATGCACTGCGTACAGTTAATAGTTAAACAGGTTGGCAAGAGGAGGAAATTTTTGAAGTCTCGTTCAACTTAGCCAGCACTGAAGATGTCGTATGGAGGTAGCTGTTTTTCCGAAGGAGTACCAGAAGTTGTCGTTCGAAGTCTCTTTAAAAAGTACGACACGGACAGCAGTGGGAGTTTGCAGAAAGATGAGTTGATGATTCTGCTGCAACAGGACTTGGGAATGGATGCCCAGCAAGCCGAAACTATGATGATGGTGATCGATAAAGATGGGAGTGGAGATGTATCTTTTGAAGAGTTTTTGCAGTTTTTGAGACAAAAGGATGTTCTTAAAAATGTGGATGACTCCTCAAAGTACAACCAAATAAGAAAAGCCGTAGAGTGCTTCAAGAAGTTTGACGAAGACGGTAGTGGTACAATTGAACCGGACGAACTCAAGCAACTCTTGGAAGCCATCGGATACGAGGGATCCATTGAAAGTGCTCAGAAAACTCTTGACAAGGATGGAGATGGCAAGATATCGTTCCCTGAGTTTCTAGAATTTTACAGCACTCAGATGAATGTTACCAAGTGACACTGAAATCCGTTTGACTCTAACTGATTGTTAAGTCAAGTTTCCGACAATATTTGATTACGATTTTTACAGATCAAAAACTAGGGTTTTTTTAGTTTATAAATGATGCATGACGGCAATAATTTGTAATTAGGAGTTTGCTCTTCGTGATGAATTTTATCAATACGTAGTACATTGTGGTATCTAATGTTAATTTTGTATCACTTTCAATTAAAGTTTTTTCTGCAGAATGTCCCTTATTCAGGAATGTTTTTGCGTGGTTAATTATTTAGGAATCCCACATTGATTAGCATACCCAGCTTGTTGAAATGCGGGAGGGGCAAATGAGTTGATCACGCGTCTCATTCAATAGGAATCCCCATAC